GTTTGCTGAGATTCACTAAACTTGCTATTAAAGATTTCATACCATTTGGTATACCAGTTTTGATCCAGTTAAACATGATCAACATAGGGCTTAATCCCACCCTTTCCCCTGTAATTTCTGATACCATGAATATTATTTGTCTCCAGAAATTGTGTGCTGCTGGCATTCCTATAAAGGAGAATAATATTTGTGACTTACTATTTTCAGCACCTGAAGTGTTTATCTTCAGGCAAGGCTGCAAATTATGCGGAAGCTATGTTCCAAGGATTGCGCCTAAAGCCAAAATGGCATATAATCAAAACACATTGGGTGCGATGGTGGGTGGGAGTTTTTCCCAGATGTCCTCTGTGTTTCCTCTACACACCCCTTCTTATTATTTTATTTTATTTTTTGCCAAGCTCATAAAGCTGAATTTACAAGTTACAGTATTCATGTAAGTCTGGCCAGTGTTAATAATATATACTAAGCTTTGAAGGTTATAACCTGAATATAACTTGAAGCCTGGAAGTGGACTGATCCCAATTAATACGCTAGCAGCCATCTTCTGTACTAACCACAGTTGCTGAACAGTCTTGAATGGAAGCCCCACATACAATGCATTTCAGTAATCTAAGCTCCCACCCAACAACAGTCAGTCACTAGTTATGGTGAGAAATCTGAGAAAGAGCAGATGAAAGCCTTCAGTGCCTATCAGCTGTGATGGCTACGCAATGCATATAAGCTGCCTTACATTGAGCCAAATCATTGGTCCACCCACTACAATCCTGCCTACACTGATTAGAAATGGATCTCCAAGGTTTCAGTAAGGGATATCTGGGGATTGACACTTGGACATTCTATCTCTAAAGCATAAACTATACCACTGTGCTATATGGCCCTTCCTGTAAGCCAGTGATGGCCAAACTTGGCCCTCCAACTGTTTTGGGACTACAACTCCCATCATCCCTAGCTAACAGGACCAGTGGTCAGGGATGGTGGGAAGTGTAGTCCCAAAACAGCTGAAGGGCCAAGTTTGGCCATTACTGCTGTAAGCACATAGCTGTCAACTTTCCCCTTTTTTAAAGGGAAATTCCCTTATTCCGAATAGGATTCCTTGCAAGAAAAGGGAAAAGTTGACAGCTATGTGTAAGCAATATGAGGAGGACTGGGCTGTTGCCTTCAAGCCTTGACTTGTGGGCTTCCTGGAGGCATCTGGTTAGCTTCTGCAAAGCAGGGTAGCAGACCAGATGAACCTTTGGGTCAAGCCAGATGGACCTAGATGGATCCAGCAAGACCTTATGGACAGTGGTGGAGCTTCATGCTCCGGCACCGTGGAGAGCTGGTGAGGGCAGGGCTGGCATGCGTCCCAGGCGGGGCAGGATGTGCATCCTGGGGGTGGGGCGTGCCGTCTGCAGGGACGGGGCGCCCAGCGTGTGGGGGGGGCAGCCGTGATGGCACCCCACCGGGATCACGCTGCCTGGGGCACTGCGCTCCCCCCACCCCGCACTCCTCTTCCTCCGCCAGTGCTTATGGACTCACCCACTTGGCCACATACCCCACCCTAGCACTGGAATAGATTATGCTGTCAGAATGTTGTTAGGAATGCTGGGGGTGTCACGTGGTTCCGTGGTAGGTCAGAATAATATGCAGCCAGCATGGGGAAAGACAATGGCTAAAGAAACAATGCACAGCTTTTCCCATACATTCCTATGGTTCTCCATCTTTATAGGGCCACACTTGTGCCAAGGTAGGGTACCCGTGAGGGATGAATGCATGCCTTACTTACTTACTTACTTACTTACTTACTTACTTATGTATGTACTTACTTACTTACCTACCTACCTACCTACCTGCCTGCCTACTTATTTATTTACTTACTTTATAAGATTTCTCACCTGCGCTTAACCATAAGGTCTCAGAGTGGGTTACAACAATACAATACATAGAACTATTTAATAGCAGATTAAAACACTTCAATGACAAGAGGCACCAAACCTTTCCAAATGCAGCAGTACAGTGTGATTTCAGCGAAATTTCAGGTGTCTCCAACAAGACACCTTAAACTGTCAAAGGCCAGGGTGAATAGGTGTATCTTCAGTATTTGGCAAAAGCTGTACAGTCAGAGGGGAATTCACCAGCTTAGGGACTGCCACAGAAGATCTCCACTTCCAGGACACGACCATCCCAAACTTCTGAGGGTGGTGGAACTACCTGCTTTGTCAGTCTTAACACCCAAGAGGACCTAAAGGCACAGAGATGGTTTTTGAGATATTTGGGGCCTAACTTGCTTAGGGCTTCAGTCAGGAATGAGGAGCACCCTGAATTGAGAAGGGAAACAAGTGGCCACTGGTGAGCTATTAAAACATATATAACCGCTGTATTTTAATAGCCCCGCCAGTTCTAAATGGAACCCCAGCCATCACCTCAAAGGAGACCTTAGGGGCTCTGCGTCTAACCCTACAAACCTATTCTGTTTCAACCCAAAAGTAAAATGTTTTGACTTTCCCCATGCCAAAGGAACTTGGGGGTGCATTGAATGGTGTGGGGATACCTAACATGGCTGTTGCTGAAGCTAGAGGGGCATGGATGCAATTGGAAAACTTGCTATTTGGGAGTGGGGTGTGCCTAGGGAACCCCACGTAAAGTTGCCGCCTTTATTTTATATTATTTTAGACAAGCATCTACCCCTTCCTTTCAGCCTGCAGGAGGGCCCTTTCCAGACTGCAAACATAGACGCGGATAATGGGATTAGGCAGTACAGTAAATTGATTCAATCATTAAAACAGTGACATGATGAGAGGCGCGCAAAATCGCTGAGTCAGTTTAAAAATGCATTGGCACAGCAGAAAGATAAAAGTGATTAAAGGGGTGGGGGATCTTAAAGACTTTGCCACCCTCCTAAAATGCAGAATGTAGTGTAGTGAAAGTTATTTTCAGAACTGCAACTGGGGGTGGACAAATCAAGTCAATTTCTCTCTCCCTCCCCATTAAAGTTTTTCATAATACAGGATAAAAGAAACTAATCCAAATAAAAACAGAAATAGAGAAAGAGAAAACACTGCATCCTCTCCCAAAGGTAGCTCTTAACCCTTGATGTGCACAGAAAGTGGTGGACCCTTTCTGTGGGACCCAGGTGGGACCCTCCCACCTGGGAGTTTTCCTTTCTTCTCCCAATCTCTCATCCTGGGAGGTCTTCCCTTCCCTGCCTCCAGAGAGCCAGTGTGGTATAGCGGCATAATCTGGTGAACTGGGTTCGCATCTCCGCTCCTCCACATGCAGCTGCTGGGTGACCTTGGGCCAGTCACACTTCTCTGAAGTCTCTCAGCCTCACTCACCTCACAGAGTGTTTGTTGTGGGGGAGGAGGGGAAAGGAGAATGTTAGCCGCTTTGAGACTCCTTAGGGTAGAGATAAAGCAGGATATCATATCCAAACTCTTCTTCTTCCACAAATCAAGTCAGTTTTCAAGTTCATCATTTTTCCAGCCTTCAGTTTTCCATATTGTCATAGCAATCTGTGATCTTTTCCCCACCTTTTTAAAATGTTCATGAAAATTCATCAGCATCTTGGTGTGATTTTCTTCTAATACTGACATTTTTCTATGCAATTTTGACTAACACACATATTTCTCCCCATGCAGTTTTTGCTAATATGCTGCCATTTTGTACAGTGGAGCCTCAGTTGTCGAACCTAATCTGTTCCGGAAGACTGTTTGACTTCCAAAATGTTCGACAACTGAGGCACAATGGGAATTTCAATGGGGAAAATGGAGAAATGCACCTCAGAAGCTGTTTGACTTCCGAGGTGTGTTCGAAAACGGAAGCATTCACTTCCGAATTTTCAGCGTTTAGGTTCTGAATCATTCGGTTTCCAAAAAGCTCGAAAACCGAGGTTCCACTGTACATGGGTTTTTTAAATGTACACTGTCTTCACTTTTGTAAGCAATGTTTGGTTGGAGAATTGCGCCATGAAGTTTGGAGGAGTGCAGATTTCAAAAGGATGGCTGCATTTCAGCTTGGGGAAAGGCTGGGGGGACTCTGCTATACAGCTAAAAATAAAACATTTTAAGTGTTTTGTAAAGTGCATTATACAAATGTGACACTAGGTGGTGATGGTGGCAAATTCAATATATTTTTCAAAACTTTTTTTAAAAGTGTTTTTAACAGCGTTTTTCATATGTGTCTAGATTCCACCTGTGTTTTGGGTCAGATATTGTTACAGGAAGTGTGACTTAGGTAGGTTCGCCTTTAAGTGGGAGCTGAATCAAGTTTCTGCCCCATCTCTAGCTGTGACCCACTAGGGCAGGGGCAGGGAGCCAGTGGACCTCCTGATCTTGTTGAACTCCAGTTCCCTGCAACCCCAGCAGCCAGCATGATGTTATAGGAGATGTTATAGTCCAAAGAGAATACTGGTCTAAATGGACCAAATGGTCTGACTTGGTAGATGGCAGCTTCCTATGTTCATGTCCCCAGCATCTTCACATAGGCAGTGTTTATCAAATTGGGTCCTTGGCTGTTGTTGGACTACAACGCCCATCATCCCTAGCTAGCTGGACCAGTGATCAGAGATTATGGGAGTTGTAGTCCATCAACAGCTAGGAACCCAAGTGTGAAACCCAGGAAAGCTGCTGCTAGTCAATGTAGACAAAGCTGAGCTTGATAGACCTATGGCAGGCATAGGCAAACTCAGTCCTCCAGATGTTTTGGGACTACAACTCCCATCATCCCTAGCTAACAGGACCAGTGGTCAGGGATGATGGGAGTTGTAGTCCCAAAACATCTGGAGGGTCGAGTCTGCCTATGCCTGAACTATGGTCTGACACTGTATACTACATCTTCCTCTGTTCCTAAATGAGTACATCCCAACAAATCCAACTAAGCAATTTATTTAGGAAAGATACAAAATGGGTTCAGATTCTTCCTAGATGGCAAGGGTGCCTTGGAGGATGGAACAGGGCAGGATACAGGTGATAATTTGAACTAATGCAGTACTTCTCCTTTAAACAACCATTTGGAAGAAGACTCCATGGAAAAGCAGAGACTGAAGCAAGACCTGCTGATTGCCGTGATGTGTGTATTCTTGGTGCTCCTGATTTTGCTCATTGTTGGCTGCACTGTTCTTCACTACAAGCTGATGACAGACGACATGTAAGTTTCACCCATCACAACACACACACACACCAACTTGTGCAGGCACCAGCATGTAGAGTTGCTCTTTGAAAGGGGACCAAATCTCAGTCCTTTGCATTCAGAAGGACCCAGGTTCAATCCCCAATATCTACAGAGAGGATTGGGGAAAACATCTGTCTGAAACCAAGGAAAGTGAAACCAAGGAAAGGGAGAATGGTTGAGGGAGCTGGGTATGTTTAGCCTGCAGAAGACTGAGCAGTAGTCTGATACCCATCTTCAAATATCTGAAGAGCTGTCACATGGATGATGCAGCAAGCTTTTTTTCAATGGAGTTGAAGGGATTCCAACTTAATATTAGGAACTGACAGTAAGAGGTGGTTGACAGCACAGTGCACTACCTTGGAAGGTGGTGGCCTCTCCTTTCTTGGAGGTTTTTAAGCAGAGGTTGGATGGCCACCTGTCATGGATGCTTTAGTTGGATGCATTTCAGGGAGTTGGACTAGATGACCCTCAGGGTCCCTTACAACTCTACAGTTCTACAATTCTATGATTCCATGATTCTTGGTCAGTGGAGTCAATACTGAGCTAGATGGTTATATTATTATTTGTCACTTTTTGCACTGTGGTCACATACACACTATACATTTAGAACTGACAGCTTCTACCCAAAGAATCATGGGAACTGTAGTTTGTTAGGGATGTTGGGAATATTAGCTTTGTGAGGGGTAGACTATAACACCCAATGATTCTTTCTGGGAAAGCATTTTTGCTAAAAGTGTTATGAATGGGCCATACATGTATGTTGCCCTTGCATAATGAAAACGAAAACAGCAAATGTCACCAACAGTAATAAAGCCAAGGGATTTGAGATGGTTATATAAAGCAACATCCTATGAGAAATGTTGGGCTGTAGAAAAGGGGCAGGGCATTTGCTTTGCATGTAGAACAGAGGCACCCCCTTCTGTGCGGGATTGAGGGGGCCTGAAGCAACATCCTAACATCGCACATGGGGCCCTATGAACATTAAGGGGGCCTGCCTCCCTAAAACAAAGTTTGGGGGCATAGTGCCTCGGCCCCCAGGAGCCGGCAGCCTTAATATAGTTCCCAGGTTCAGTCCCTGGCATCTTCAGACAGGGCTGGAAGAGACTCCTGTTTAAAATCCTGGAGAGCCCCTGCCAGGCAGATTAGATGAGACTGAGCTTGATGGACTGATAGACTGACATGGTATATTAGAGCATAGCAGCAGCAGCAACAACAACAATTAATGATATAGCTGATAACTTAGTGCAGGAGGCCCTCTTGACTGTGCTGTAGCCAGGCATGCTGCCTTGGCCCCATGACAGTCAGTCCTTGGGGTGTGCCGACTGTTAGGTTGTGGGTGAACATATCAGACGACACAGCGATTCTTCAAACAGCTCTTGTTTATTCAGAGGCCAGAACAGAACTGAACTGAAGGGCTCAGTCAGCCTGCTTATATAGAGCTCCAGTACAACGTTACTGTAGCAACTTTCTAAAACTATCCAATCACTGAATGTCACTTTCGATCCTTCATTTGCATAACTATCTACAGTATCCCCCTGCTGGCCCAGGGTGAGAACTTCAGTACATAACACCAACATTAATAAATCATGAAACATTTAAAAAAACATGAAACAGTAAAACAACCCCAAAAAACTTCCCTATACAGGTTTAGAAGACAGGGTTGTCTTCTAAAGGTTGTATAGTTACTTACTGTATCTCCTTGGCTCAAGGGTCACATAACTCATACCCTCCAACATTTCTCCTTTGAAAACAGGGACATCCTAAGGGAAAGCGAGGCCTTCCAGGATCCGATAAGAAACCAAGACAGCTTCTGTAAATCTGAGACTGTCCTTCCAAAATATGGAGAGAATTAGAGCAGATAGACAGTTGGGTGTCGTTTGTGAAGAGAAATTGAGTTTTTAATTGTTATTTATTGGTGTGATGAGGTACACAAAAAATGCAGACCCGTATACATTATGGGGAACTGTATGAAACTTGTCTGACAATGCAAAAAATGTTTTTTGTTTAAAAAAAAGGCTGGTTATTTGTTTTATGTACATGCATATCAGACGTTTTTGAACAGAACACTTGCTTAAAATAAACAAATCTGCAAAGTAAATTTGTCCGGGTTTCCTCGCTGTGCTTGTACCCTCTCCCATCTTCTTTTTCTTCAAGCACCCTGAGGAAGGAGGTGAAGACTTTTGCTATCCAGACACACTGCATGGAAACGAAGTTTGTCCTGTCTCCTTCCCCAGCAGAGGCACTGGAATCATCTCAGCGGATGCCATGCCTGCCACCATGCCAGGCACTATGCCTGCCACCATGCCAGGCACCAACATCCCAGGGAATGCCACAGCCACCATGCCAACCGCCATCTCCACCACCATCCCAGCCACCGACCAAGCCACTGACCCGGCAGCGATCCCATCCAAGATCCCCACCCCCTGCGGCACCCTTGCCTAAGCCATCGAAAGCTTCACCCTCAAAACAGAAGAAGGCAAGCTCCAGGTCAATCAGCCACATTTACAGGAGCAATTCCTCCGAAAGCATTCACTCCGATGAGTCTGGAAGCATTTACTCCATGGAACATTTCCAGTGCCTCTACGGCTCCTCCAGGAGTGGATCCGTGGAATCTCTGGAGGGCAAAGGATCCCAGGGCGAAGGAAGTGGTGGAAGCAACGATTCTGGGAGCATCATGCTGTGCGCCATCCGTGAGATGTGATGGCTGAGATGATGCCAGTTCCAAGGATGGTTGGTATCATGCCTTTGCTGAACTACTCAGTGTCTTTCTTCCATGGAGATGCTTGAGCATCTGTGTCACAGCGTGCCGAGTCAGAACACCCCGAAATCAATGGATTGCATCTCCCTCTATTCCAACCCATAACCCACAACCTCAGCCCCCAGCCCCAGCCCTCCCAAGGATCAAAATGAACTGGAGGCAAACTTCCTTTCAGTTTGATTTGTTGTTGTTTATAAAACTTTTTATAAAAAAGTTAACTAATCATAGCAAGAACAAAATTCCCCACAAAGTGAACAAAAACAGGGACTGATCACTGCGACTCGAAATGAAAACAAAACAAAACAAAACCCAGATTGATGATCTGGCAAAATAAATGACATTGGAAGGATTTTTAAAAAATGAAATAAAAGAGGGAAGGAAAAATATGTTCAGGTGTGTGTGTGTGTAGGGTTGTGTGTGTAGGTGTGTGTGGGTGTTTAACTCATGCCAAGAGCTGTTTGTTTTCTGCTGTTCTAATTTGTTTGGGATTGCACAGAATCTGGATACTCAGGGATGCCAGATTTTTGGGGGAAATGTTTCTGGTAGTCAGTGTTATGAGGGTACAGAAACAGCTTGCACTAATGCTCAGGTATTCAGGAAGTTCAGCATCAGTGCTTGGCTGTACGCTTAACAATAACATTGATGGTAGTAATATTTATTATTTATACAGTGCTATCAGCGTGCATGGCACTTTGCAAGGTTTTATGTGGAAAGGCACAAGCCCTAAGTGGTTCAGAAAATCTAAAACTGGCCACAGGGCCAGGGCTGGCATCCTGAGAAGCTCCGCACACATTCTCCTCCAAGCGCTGGTGGTTAGTGGATTGTCGCAGGGCTGGCCTGCTGATTAGCTTCACACAGATGCCTCAGGTGGCAGGCTGGGGACAGCTGGGAGGGATTACAGATCAGGAAAGGAAGGTGAAAACTCTCTGCCTGAAACCACGGAGAGCCATTGTTGGTCAGGGCAGACCAGAGATGTGGAACCTGCAGCCCTCCACATATTGTTGGACATCAGCCTCCATCAACTCCAGTCTGCATGCCTGATGATCAGGAAGCATGTGAGATGTAGTCCAACAAAGATCTGGAGGGCCCTTCCCTTCCCTTCCCTGGGAAGCTAGATGGTCTGACTTCCACTGTTCCTAAATTGGCTAATCAAATCAAGCTGTGCCCCTTGCTAATCAGTTGTCACTGTGAGCTGATATCCTTGTTGGAATGCCTTGTTTCAGAGGAAGTCACTTCTTCAGAGCTTTATAACTGGTTGGTTTAAGAATTCCTCCTCCTAGTCTGATAAGACACCCCCATAGAATTGTAAGGGACCCCAAGGGTCATCTAGTCCAACCCCCTGCAATGCCCAAAATGGGGCCTGAACCCATGACCCTGAGATTTAAGAGTCTCACTCTCTACCAACTGAGCTTTCCAGCTTTAAATAAGAACCAGAATGTGCTTTGGCTACCAGGAATTTGGCAATCACTGAATTAAATGGTTCAATAAACCAGTTAAAAGCAAGACAGCAAATTGTCCCCCAACAGTGGCAGACTTTGGGTTTTAAAATTTCAGCGGTGCCAAAATTTGGTGCTCCCCACCACTCAGGTTCCATTGTAAAGCACAGTTGCAGTGTTCCCTATGGTGCCCCTGAGACTCTTTCTCCAGTGCAACTGAACTGGTTGTGCTCCCCTAAATCCACTTCTGCTGTGGGCAGGGTTTCTGCACTGCAAGGGGGTTGTACTAGATAACCTGTGTCCCTTCCAACTCTACAACTCTATGGTTCTAAGTCAGTCTCCTCGTCCATCTAGCTCAGTATTGCACCTGGAACCTTTTTGTGCATGCAGAGCTGGTGCTCTGCGCCTGAGCTACAGCTCCCACCAACAACTCTTGAGTATCCCTGACCATTGATCACACCAGCTGCAGGGGCTGTTGGGGGGGGGTCAGGCACCAACTGAAAGGCCAAAGGTTTCCTAGCCCTGCCTGACATACAGGCACACCACCACATCCTAACCCCCCCCCCAATACCAAAAATTATACAGGAGATTCCCATGCACATTTCCCCCCTCTTGTTTGACCTTTACTGTACGTACTAGCAAGTAGCAATGGAGCTATGTGCTCTGCAGGAAGAGTCAAAGCAGGACATTTCAAAGTGTAGAAATGCAGACCTTGAACAGCAGAGGGTGCTGTTTTCACAGTTTGGGGTGGCAGAGAGGCAGCTGTTCGAAACTGCTCTGGATCTAAGCGGATTGAAAACATGGCAAAACTTATTGATGAAGGGCCACTTTTGACACCACATTTGCCCACTTGCGCTCTGAAAATTCATGCAGAGAGATGACCACTGATGTAACTGGGAAGGGCTGCACCTCAGTGGCAGCAAGTCTCTTTTGTCCACTGAAGGTTGCAGGCTCACCTCCTGGCATCTCCTGATAGGACTGGGAGTTGTCTGCCCTCTGGAACCTGGAGAGCTTTTTACCCGGCTTTCCAGGCATGGTCTGCACTCTAAAGGGAAAACCTGAACTGAAGTTTGTTCCAACTGAGCACTAGAAAGTGGATTTCATGGGGAAAGCTCCAGGGTGAGGGGTTGGGGACAACAACACTTGGAGTTTTAAAGTGTGGACATGTGTCTAGAAAGAGAGGGCAAAAGATAAGTGTGGATAAGCCCTCAGTGTGTGCAATACTAAGCTAAATAGACCAGACAGACTCAGCAGAAGTTGGCTTCCAATGCAACATCAGGAGATCTGCATCGTGTGCAATCCTAGTTTAATTCAGCCCTATTAACTTCATGGAGACTTATTCCTGGGTAAGTGGGAATTGCGGCCATAAGCAATGTGGTAGACAGCTAAGAACACTGTCCTATGATATGGATTCAAATGATGGCCAAACCGTTTGCCACTTAGTTGGGGCATAAGTGCAATTCTACATTTAATTCTACACCCAACTGACTTCACAAGGTTGTTGTGAGGCTAAGAGTCTCTGATGTGCCCCTATTAATTTCTTGGAGGGCTTGGACAAGAGATACTCCAGAAGGGCATTATAACCTTCAGGTACCCACTGCTTCTTTTTGCAGGTAGCAAAGTATTCTTTCCTGAGCTAAGCCTTCATTGCTCGCCCACATCGTTTAAAAAGGATTCATAAAGCATTGGAGGGCATTAAAGACTGACATGCTTAGAGAAAGCTTAGAGGAAGGCAGTTTATAAAGAAAAGATCAGAGAGTTTCTACTTAGGCACTTGACTGGAGGGATTAAAGCCTTCTCATAAAGCAGAGGCAAGGATCCATTTCTCAGCCAAAAGGCCACCTTTCCTAATAGGGAACTTTCTGGGGGCCACATGGCAGTGGGTGGCCACTCATCCACCCACCCCTCAGAGGTCTCCATCCAGGCAAGCAAGAGTTCTAGCGGGGTTTCTCAAACTTGGGTCCCAAGATGCTGTTGGACTACAACTCCCATCATCCCTAGCTCGCAGGACCAGTGGTCGGGGTGATGGGAGCTGCAGTCCAATAACAGATGGGGAACCAAGTTCAAGAAACACTGGTTCAAGGACACATCCCAGCCAGGTCACCTTATTCCAATATCAGAACCCACGAGGAAAGAGGAAAGGCTGGATGCACAGACAGCTGCAGGTGAGCAACTTGCTCCAGCAAAGGTTGGCAGAGCATGATGGCCTGTCACCAGGCTACCTTCTCTAGAACCTTGACAGGCCAACCTTCTGGGCCTTCTCCATTCCGTAGCCTCTGGTGATGTGTGGTGGCAGGCATCTGGTTCTTCCAGCTCAGGGGATGGTGTTTGTGAAGGCCCAGGTTCAGGCCTTATAGGCCCTGAAGGTCTGGGAGGTTCCTCTGGGACTTCTTGTCCAACTGCCTCAAGCGCAGTGGTCTCCCCATCTTCTACATATCTGAGCCCTGACCCAACACAGCTACCTATCCTGTGCCCTTCCACCCCAGTGTTCAGATTCCTGCTGGATTCAGGGGTCATCATGGCACAGGTAAAGCTGCTTGAGGAGAGCACAGAGCCAGGCAGGGGTGCGGCTTGGGCAGAGTCCCAGGAGCCAGAGGGAGAATTCCAAAAGGCTGCATTTGACCACCAGGACCAGGGATTCCTAGCTCCTGCTACAAAGGAAGAACATATGGGTGTACACGAGTCAGGGCCAGTGTCAGAAAGGGTAGGCTGGGCAGGAACATCTAGAGGGTGCAGGCACCCTCAAAGGGGGACCTACTGATGAGAACCCTCGACCTGCTGTGGTGGCTCACGTATGGTGCCCCATTCTGAAGGTGTCTTGATAGCTCTTGAAAGATTGGAGCCAACACTGCGTGACACAGAAAGAACACACATGAGCAAATATATCATGAAACATGCCTAGCTAAAACTACCACCACCATCACTACTGACAAGTGTATTGGCAAGTCAGCAATGGCAATGGCTTGCCTCTTCAAAAGGTTTGGGAGAACGTGATGCTGATGTTCAGTACCAAAATGAAGGTCTACCAGACTTGCATGTTGAGCATGCTGCTTTATGGACGTGAGTCGTGGACAACTTACAACTGTCAGGAGCGACGTCTCAAGGCCTTCCACATACCCTGTGTCAGGAAGATTATGGGTAGCACATGGCCCAATCAAAGGTGTGCTCTCCTAAGCCCATATTCCCAGCATGTTCTCACTTCTGTCTCAATGATGTCTATGTTGCTACCTGACATTCAGAAGACATCTTAAGGCAGCCCTGTTCAGGGAAGTTTTTAATGCATGATATTTTAGTGGGGTTTTTGGTTTCTATGGAAGCCGCCCAGAGTGGCTGGGGAAACCCAGCCAGATGGGCGGGGTACAAATAATAAATTATTATTATTATTATTATTATTATTATTATTATTATTATTATTATGCTTGTTTGGTCATGTACACAGAATGGAGGATGGCAGGATTCCCAAGGAAGAGCTCTATGGGGAGCTATCTTCAGGCACCAGGCCTGTTC